AATACATTCACAATGAGGAGGGGTTAAAAAAAAACACCCTGTAACTTGGGGAGGGGGTGAAAAAAAATGGCAGTTTCAAATGTGGACAGCCCCTTATCCTCACATGGAATAATAGCTCTTATTAGGCCAGCAGTGATGAGACAAAATGGTTAAATGGTTTTAGTCATTTGTTTTTATAAATTAATATTAGGAATGGAATAGCTACATTAAATTTTTATTAAGATTTTTTACAAAATTATTATACAGTTTATTTTATTTTATTTTAGGTAAGTACAAAATGTTACTGTCAGAAACTGAATAGAAATTTTGCACCATTTTTTGACTGTACAAGTTTGATAAGGGGTAATCCCTAGCAGTATTTATTTAATCACTGGACATGTACTCCCATGCCCACACATGAGAGCTTAAATGTATTTTACACACACACACATACACACACCATGGGCTAACAATTTTACAATAAAAATTGATATGTGTATGTATTTCAACAAAAAACTATATGGTATTACTCTGATCACACTACCAATCCAATTGGTGAGGGGTTTCATGTTTATAATACAGAGGGGGTTTATGTTTATAATACAGAGGTGTTGACAGAGTTTCCTTCAACAGCAGGTAGTTTTAAAAGCCACTCAACTTGTACATTGACATGTTATGTCACATGTAAATAAATAACAATGAAGAGTTTGTTATTTGCCATATATTTCAATATCTTGTTCACTTCTGCTGAAATGTGGGGTCACATTTTGGTATGAAACATCTTTACAACTAGTAACCAGTTCAGAGCACTGACCAATTACGTTCAAAATTTAAGTATGTGAGTCATAGTTCAAATTTTTAATAGTCCTTATCAGTTCTTTTCTTATTATACAGGCATCTACCTCTGTAATCCCAAGGCATTAAGATGCATGAAGGGTATTTCCTGAAAAATTTGCTACCTTAATAAAGATCTTACTTTCAATTTAGAAATAATGAAATCCATAAATTGTCAAGATAAAAAAATGTTGAAAGAAAAAAGGTTACCTGGTTCTATTGTTATTTCTGTTATCTTTGTTTCAGTAGTTTAAATTACCCAAGTACATGTTCAGAGATGAAATTATGCCATTTATAGATGCCATTTTTTTATGTTTATGAAATTTCACATTTAGTATTTGTCATTGTTGTCCATATCAATGTCAAACATGTAACTGAAGTACCAACATGTTATTTATCCAGAGCATTCAGTTTTCAAAATCACATTTGCTGCCATGAGTCTGTTGCTATGATCTAGGTAAATGTATTTGTGATCTGTAAGATGTCAAATATGGATTTAGATACAAGGGTTAGGGTCAACACTGCTTGTGTTAGCTTTCTTTCAGACGGAGTTGTCATGGACATCTTTTTTCAAAGTTTGTTGGTTAACTTTACTGGGTCTCAGATTGTCATTCATTTTCTTGACAAACTTGAATTTCTTAAGTGAAGTTTGGACAATTTATTGTCTTTATCCTGTTCATGATTGGAACACAACATTTTATCAATGATGTAAGAAATCATTTTGGTAATATATTTTGAAATAAAGATGTTAAATTGAATGCTGTTTTGAAGTATTGTTTAGACCACTTCCCAGCTATAAATAATATGGTATACAGAACCATGCATAATTTTGTAGAATAGATCAGTATATGGTGACCTTGTCTATCACATTTTATGTCTACAAACAGCAGTAGAGTGGTTGTAGAACAGCATTTAAGGAAGAGGAGTGACTGTAGATGCTAATAGCATTTCAGATGTGCTAAATGTTATAGACAAAGACAAGAGTAAAGAAAATTGTAGACATTGTAGCAATCATGCATGCATGTCATGGTTATGCGATATACACTGGGACACGATAAGTACTTTTTACATAGCCCTAACAACTTTTATAAGCACCAATCATCAAGGCGGCATGATATTCATAAGAACTACCACCTTTCTAAAGCTTGGTGGTCTGTGATGCCTGCAATTTTAGACTGGATATTAAAAATATATATACCCTATGTTATAGGATCAAATAAATCTCTCTTTAAATTATAAACATGTCAAACATGACAAAATCAAAAGTGAAATTAAGTTAAAACAAATATCAAGCCCACACCATTTAATCCAAATTGTCATTTGCATGCCTGCCATAAATTGTCATCTGGGCACTTTGTTAATCGTGTAAGAACATCTAGCATTTAGTATTCTTACTCTTTGCATGTTTGAAAAATGTGGAAATTTTTTATGGTGTCAATTCCTGATCCTGCTCCTCCGCAAGACAAGAAACTCTAAATACAGGTGTACGATAAAACCAAGAGAAAGAAAATTACAAGTGGATGCAGGACATTCTGTGGATAACCCACAGCAAGAAGGATAAGATGACAATTTCAGTTTGTTTTGTATATAATATTATTGGGAACATTTGTAATTAGCTGCAGCAACTTTATAATTGGTATAGTCAGAACCCATGAGCTGAAACAGCAACCCTGTATCATTGTTAGAAATGCTCATTTTTTCAAGAAACCTGGATGACCATATACTATGTGAAATTATGTGAGTTGGACAAGTTTTGGAAATAAGCAGTACCTACATGATGGACAAATATTGTCAGAAATTTATCAGGGCTATTGCCCATAATTGTAGAGTCAGAACAGAACCATATCATTTCCTCCAGTCATTTTTTTCTTGGTTATTAGTGATTGCCACTGACATGATTAAGTGAAAGGTAAATGTTAAAAATTTCATTTTATACTTTTGAATTTAAACTATTAAACACAAGTTTAAATTAAGATCCATTCCATTTATAATAATGTAAGCTCTTAAACCAATTTAAAACTAGACACATTCGAGTTTATTTAATTCGGTAAATTCAATAATTTAGCATTTCTTCTTAGGTTTAAATTGTTTTGGTATAGAAAATGTACCCAAGGTAAACATTCAAACCATTAGTCTTGCTAAAATGGGTTCTTGTCAGAGAGATATGGGAATGAATGGATGAAAAAGAATGTTGCAATGGGAACTGATAGTGTCTGACAGTGATGCTTATGACAATGATAATCATGATGATAAATTCCATGCTCAAAATTTATCAGCATTACCAAACAAAGTATATAAATTGATGAAAATAATGTAAACTGATAAAATAACCTTTCATGCGTGTTTTATTTTATTGCATAAATTATACATTGTTTTTCACTAAGTAGATCCATAAACAAAAAGTTCCTTATATCAGTCAGAAGAACCACCATTTTTCAAAAGCAGGAAGTCTTGCAGGTGTTCTATTTAAAAAAAAGTTAAAAGTCAAACCCTAACATAATTACATTTTTATGCAGAATCTTGAATAAAATAATATTTAGACTTTGCTTTCTATGAGTCGAATATTTTCCTAATATATCCTGCTGCCTCAACAAAACACTTATATCAGTGGGTGATTTTGTTGTTAAATCGATTCTATTGGTGGGTCCTGAAAGACCTAAATCACATCTATGGGTGGCTACCCAATTTTAAAACTGCCTTCTCCTGGTCCCATGTATGTTTTAATGGAACAGCCCTAAGTCTCAAATGGCTGTAAATTTATGGCATGAAGGGAGTAATGAAAATGTAAAATATTAAGCCATGGCCTCTAACTTGACCTTGCAGATTGAACCACCAATGTTTTAAGTGATGCCATGTGTGTGTGTATGTGATTTGTATTTTTAACATAGCTTTAACAATTTTACAGTCATATTGCTATGATGTCTGCAGTATGGCAGTTTATAGTGATGTCTAGCACTGAGGCATCATGCCACAGATATGTAGCATGATGTCCCACCCAGTCACATTATCCTGACACCAGACCAACTAGTCCTGACACTAACCTCTTAATGCTGAGTGCATAGCGAGGCAGCTATTACTACCATTTTTATAAGTCTTTCGTATAATTTAGCCTGGTTTGAACCCATGACTTCCAGCATCTAAGGCAAATGCTCTAACCACTAGGCCTCTACTGATGTTGTACAGGAATATCCAGTTTCATCCTTTAATCGTATACTGTTGTGAAAAAAAAAAGGTAAAGAGTGACAGAAAACATAATATATGTAACTGCAACCTAGAGTGTGAAGATAAAACCAATAATTTTGTATGCCACACCTTTTAATGATGACATACAAGTATACAATGTTTCATTCCTTAATCACAATTGGTTTTAAAGGTATACAGCAGAATGGAAAGTAAGGCATAAGGAAATAGTAAATATTCTTTTCTACTTGTATTCAAAAGGCAGGGATGACAATGAGACTTGAATGATTTTCACTTTACATCACAAAATCATCCACAATTATCTCTAATTTCTTTTAATTTTTTTTATCGTGATTAAAACATGGATTCCAAGAAGCATGGTGATTAACTTGTCAATGTTACTGAGATATGCAACTTTCCGTTTAAGCAAGCAAACCAGGAAACCTGTCTATTAGGGTGCATTCCTTTAGAGTTGAAATGACTATCAAAATTTCCCCGTTTTAATATTCTTCAAATATCATGTTTTACTATTCAAAACATTTTCAATAGATTCCAAAGAGGATCAACAGAAAATGAGAAATAAGCAGCGACACAAAAAATAAATGAGCACATCTGACAGATCATCTACTTTCTCCAATTGTTCACAACAATTTTTGTGAATTTTTTCAAGACCTGAACATAGTTTTATTTCATGTCAGTGTTTATGATTCTGAAGGAACTATCAACAAAAGACTAAAGTATTTGGTATTCAGGAGATGCACTATGTGATTATGATTTGTAATGTAGCTTTAACAATTTTTCAGTCATATCACTACAATGTCTGCAGTGTGGCAGTTTATAGTGATGTCTAGCAATGGGGCATTGGAGCATTGTGCCGCAGACCTGTGGCATGATGTCCCACCCAGTCACATTATTCTGATACCAGGCCGACCAGTCCTAACACTAACCTCTTAATGCTAAGCATCAAGCGAGGCAGCTGTGAGTACCATTTTTGTAAGTCTTTGGTATGACTCAATCAGGGATCGAACCCACGACCTCCCGCATCCTAGGCAGATGCTCTAACCATTAGGCCACTAGAGTGGTTTATTTAGCAAAATAATACAGTACCTAATGTTTTAAGAAGACAGACCTGGACAGTTAAAAACCAGTAGTCAGAAGTTATTTTAGTCAATGAAAGCAATTTATTCTGGGAAAAAATTGAAAGTTTATATTTGAAGAAACCCAATTAGGTATAGCAACCAGAGTGTTTAGGTATGTACAGTGCACAATTGCCAATCAAAATATTTTGACAATATTTTAAGGTGCACATTACCTGCTGTGGTGTTGAAAATCTGACTCCAGTAGAATGGAAAATTAATCTTGACAAGTGAATTAGCATATTTAACAAATTGGAACAGTTATTGTAAAAGTTTCTAAATAGTCCCTTTTTCTAGGAGGACAAAATAAAAATAAATATGATAAAACACTGAATCTTTATTACAGCTGTGTATTATTAGGAGGAACAAAATTTCTTAAAAGTGAAAGGCACCTTCAAAGTCTTGATTTTGCTATTCACTCACTCTGAAAGTTTGTCAAGGACCTTTAGAAAGCCTGTTTTATGCATTACTACATTGGCTTTCTTTAAATCTCCACATTTCTTGTGGGTATTGTACAATTAAAAATGAGCAGCTTTGTAGATGAATACATGTACAGGAATAGAGTTACTAGTGGTCACAGACTGTAAACCTGCACAATATTTATTGTTCTGACCCTGCATTTAAAATCTCTTTTATATTGGAAAGAATATTTCATTATAAAATATTAAAAAATTTTATTGGGATCACATATTAAAGTAAAGCAGTCTCATGAACAGAGGACACTTTAACAAAATCCATATAATAATGTGATATTTACTGCATGTCTGATTCATGCTGGATCTTACTTAGGGCTGTTCCAGTAAAAAATATACCCTCTCCCCGGGACGGCACTTCATAAAAACTTCTGTAGGGGGTTGTGTTTCAAACTATTTTGATTCTGATAGTGGAAGGTTGATTAAGAAAATCACTTGTATTGTGGGTTGTGTTAACAAAATGAGAAATCGCTGGTTGGGGTTGTCAGGAAAAAAAAGAATATATATATATTTTAAATCGCATCTAACCCCCTCCTAACGGTCTAACGCGAATAAAAAGGTGTTTCGGAAAATGATACCCGTACATGCGAGTGCACCTAATTTGTTTGAATTTGCATACTTTTAAAGCAGTAATACAAGTTCCGCAAATTATGTCAACATTACGGATATAAAACGTGCTTTGCACATTATGCAATTTTTATTCAACTTTTAACTTTAACAGTGCATCTAGCAAAGTTATTTGCACTGCCAGTAGCAGTGCTTGATGCAACAATATTCAGGAAGACAAACATTAAAATAGCTAGATACTTCAGTTTGACATGAATGGCTGTTAAACTATCTTAAACTTCCCAAATCCAGTCTGTATGAAAAATGCCAATATAATAAATAGATTTAAAACGATCAAATCCAAACCAAGTCTACCATGGGAGGCGATTTACTTATATTGGTTTGGCTTCTTTTAAAAAAATAGACAAGATATATATATAAAAACAATGCAATCTGCAAAATCATAGAGACACCCAGAAAATTAAAATATATTAAAGATTTAATTTTAAAATTTAGGAAAAATAATGATATATGGAGGGGGGATAGAAAAAGTATGTACAAAGTAATAAAAGATTTAGTCATAAAAAATAAAGGATGTAAAATTGAAATGGAAGTATAGGGAGTTAATTGAGAAAAAAATTGGAAAGCTTGGGGGAATTCTTTAAAAATACAAAGTTTAATTTTTAAATATATCCACAATGCCTGGTTAACAGGAGATATAGCAAAAAGAAGACATATGATTATTAATATACCTAAATGCCCACTATGCAAAAAGTTTGAATTCTCAAAGAAACACATTTTAAATTGTACAACTGTAAAAAATGAAAGAGATGAAATTAAAAGTATAATTAAAAAATTTTAAAATAGGAGCATTATTACACTTAGATGGCAATTTTTCAAATTTAGACTTTATGAAAATAATAAGTTTTAAAATATTACTACAAAAAAATGTGGGCAAATTATAAGTATAGGATAATAACTGCCTCCTGAAATTTAATTTGAAAAAATATATATATTAATATGATTTTCTTATATTTATAAATAATTCTACACATGGAAGAAGTACGAGACAAGGACGTCGTAGGGCTATATCTCATGGTGTTAAGCAAAGTCGGCAGGCCTGCGGAAGAGCCTCGGAAAAACCCATGTGTAGTCTTATATAAAGTTTTTGGACTCTTTAATGTACATTTGGAAACAAATGTGGGAAATGGGGTGCTATAGAAATAAAAAGAGGCACCCTATTTTCTTAGCAACAAATTTAGAAAAAAAAGAGAAGGCAGAACACCATACACATACACTGCAAAACATTAGGAAAAAGTTTTTACTAAAAGGTATACACCGTCGAGCCCTAAAAATTAAAACTTCAAAATTAAATCTAAATAAATTTTTTTAAATAAATGTAAAGAAAAGAAATAAATTATATGCATATAGTAGAAAGAATGTTGGAATGAAAGAAGAAGGAAAGGATGAGTTTGGAAAATTCTGATGCATATAATAAAAAGACAACTGGGGAAAAATATGATATAAAAGGCTTTCCTTACAAAAAAACATTAAAGCAACATACAAGAGGACCAAACACATAGCATTCACAGGACATAGGAGACCTCTAGCCAAGGTTACCAATTTAAATAAGGGGAAAGATTCTGATAAGGAAATTAAAGCCCTATCGGATGAATGAACCTTTAGAAACACTAGGAAAAATAAATACCCCATCAAAAAATTCTAAAATAATTTTTTTTTTATCTAAATTCTTTTTATAAATAGAACATAGCAACGCATCAGGGGGGATAAACAAATACACATCAAAACTTTTTAGATATTTTTTTCAGTTAAGTGGGGGGGGCATCTGTCTGGTGCCCCCAAAAAATTAAACTATCTTTGATTGGTTCATTGGCCCTGGAACAAGCATTTATAGGAGTTTTAATTTTACTCTCATGTTAGTTTTATAAATGTGTGTTTCAAATAAAGGCCACACAGGAAATCAAAAAGGCTGATTCAAAACAGGGTTTGTTGTTAGACAATGTTTTCAGTCGGCAAATACTGACTGGTGATAGCTATGATGACAATGAATTTCATGTATATTAATTTGTTGGACATTGGGAAAATGGCACTGGAAATACCAGTGCATGAATTTTAGCACAAAATTGATGCTGAGCACGAGTCTGATGTAAATGTTGGATGTACAGAATGCCGGTTATATTTATTAAAGATACTCATGTCGAAACAAGCAGACTATGGGAATGTTATACTTAAAACATTAATACAGCATTATGGAAGAGAAAAATAAACAACCTAGGATAAGATGCAGCAATGCACTGATTCGTGAAAGTGAACCTTTGGCAGAGTTTAAGTTAGTGAAAACTATTCTTTCTGGAACAGAGATGTCGAAGAGAATACCCAAGGCCATGTAGCTACGATGTTGTAGCCTCAATGTGTTTTGTTGTGGGTCCACAAGGTAGGACTAAGGGTACTAATAATAGCCATAGGGGCTATGTGAGATGTTGAAAATTACACAACCATAAAGAACAGTAACTTGTTCAGGCTAGTTATGCATATGCACTTCAGACAGCAGACAATGAAATGGAGTTCTCAGCACAGAATAATATTCGTACACATAGGACGAGGATCATTTTCAGAAACAATCAATATATTAATGCTCATAGTGTACATCAGGAAACCCCAATACAACATAATTAAGTGTGTGTAAATCTATAGTTGGCAGAACCACTATGGCAACAAAAGAATAACTAAACTAACTTTCACATCGTGCAGATGTATTATTAAATGAAATACATGCTCTCTGTGTGCAAAAAATTAAATGCCATTAGGCATAAGAAACTGACTTAACTGTGTAAACTCAAAGCAAGATGGATAAAATTTGTCCTGTTTGTGTTTGGTTATTCCTATGTATATTTTGAGGAGGAGGATATTTTCTGCAGACCTTTTGGCACTTAGTTCCAAGCCATCATTTGTTAATTGTATTACAAATTGGATTACTATTATCAAGTACACAGCATTTTGAAGCAGTGTCATTAACTATGATGACTTGATGTCATTCTGATATGTGGATTCTTTACTACACTAATAATCTGTTTCATCCTGATTCGTTTTTACCATCTCCCTTAGTTTTACTGGTACCAATACTTTTAATAAAATTGTAACTTATATTTTCTTACAATCTAAATATTTGTGATCATGTATTAAAGATGTGATAAAAGTAAAATGTGCATAGTCTAAAACTAATTAATTAGCAAGAGACTAATGTATAAAGTGGGTCAACTTCATGTGTGCAAAAATTGTTGCCATATTAGTGTTGTTAGAAACAGAATAATTGCACAAGATGTATTTTGCTTAGTTATAGAACCAGCACTCATATTGTAACCACATATTCCATTTCAATAATACTATCATTATTTTTGCATAGTCCTATCAGTTTTTCTCAAGTGGTATCAATTTCCTGATTTGATGTTGTTTGTTTCTTTTGCAATTTTTACATGTCAAAAATTCTCAGTATCATTAAAAACAATATAATCTGCACCAAATTGAGTTATTTGGGAAGACATTTTTTTAAACCCCAAAATCACTGAATCTGAATTCTGGCATTAAAGTCTCACATTAAATTAAATAAATTTCACCTTTGGTATATACAGATCTTGAATGTGATGGAGAAACATGGCTCCAAAATAAACAGCAATTTTAGAGCCTATTCATTGACTATGAATCAAGTATATAATCTGACCCAACTGAATTATCAGAAAAAATTTAATTCTTTTGACATGATAATTAGCTGTCAATTATGGAGTAAGCCTATGGCTATTTAACAATGACTATTCTTTTCCGACACCACTTCCTCATTGGAGATCTCTCTCTCTCTCTCCTCTCACACACACACACACACACACACACACACACACACACACACACAC